TGTGTGTGTGTGCTTTGATGTGGAGTTAAGAAACCAAACAGCTGTTTGTGCAAAAGCAATAAGAGGACGTTGTTTTATTGTTATTATTAAGGTAGTGTTCAATGCAAGTTGTGTACAGATATATATATATCTCAGCTGAACCTCTTCAAAATAAGACTGGTGAAAATATATTATATAGTATTTTAGTTTGACAGAAAAAAATAAATAAATAAATAAAAATAAGTTGGGTACAAAAGTTAAAGGTTGCTATGTGGTATAAATATAATAGATGCTTTCATCTACTCTATTTTGAGTTCCAATTTTTTTTATTCAACTCATCAATGAATTAATATATATGATTTTATGAGGGGAAAGGTTAAAATTAAAAGAAATGTAATTTGAAGAAAGTATATATAAGAGGTTTTGCTCAATTCTTATGTAAGATTGTTTAATCGCTAAGCACAGTTATGCTCTACTCGTGTAAAACGACCTAATTATTTTGGTCGAACTATAATTTCATCCTTAATTGTTTATGATTATACTTGAAATAATGTATAATAACATTTTTGGAGACCATTATGTACAATAATTAATTCTCGAATAATTAAACAACCCCAAATTGGGAAATTGAAATGATTAAACTAGATAGAGTGCAAATGCTATATAATTGAATATATTTCTTTAATTGCCATCTTTTAATTGAAGAATTGTAATATAGCCTATGGTGTAAATGGTTTTTATGACTTAAACCCTAGCAATTTGAATAGCTTATAACATGAACAATTTAATTGGTATAGTCAATTTGTGATGATTAAATATGTGTCTTTGAAGTTTGAGCTCATTATGGAGCCAAAATTGATTATTAGTATTTTTTTCTTTTCCTAGTGCATGTTTGCCATTATTTCCATTTACAACAAGTCAAGAAAATCTTAAATATAGGATTATTAACTTTCATTTATTCAAGAACATCCAAATTACTACCATAATTAACCAAAGGGACATCTAAAACTTTATTATATCAAATATTCTTTTGTGTACATGAGTACATCATGATTCATGATGTATATATTATTGAAAACACACATTAATTAATTACTTCAATCAACAATTTTTTTTTTTATTTTTTATTTTTTATAAAACAATATCATAAACTACACTAAACTTTTTTAAAAAAGTATTTCTATTGTTAGGTAGACTTAATCTTGTTATATATATTGTACAGATATATATATTTCCATACACAAATTACATATTTTGAAAAATAATATAAACAACAATGTGACATTTTTATTTAAAATAAGTGTGCATTTTTTTTTTTCAAAAAATATGGTGTGTTGATTGATCTAACCAATTATTTTCAATCCGAATAGCTATGGACAATTGAAGGGTTGGACCAAAAATATGTGCAAATTTTGGGGAACGACTATAGTCTCGTTGACGGAATGGTTTCGTCAATATAAGATTATGTACACAAAATGATTTATATGTGTACCTAATAGTGAAAAACACTGACTGAGTCATCCCGTAACGGACTTTAGTATTTTTCCAAACATTGACTTCCTTTCAAAATTTTGAGATTTTTGAAAAAATGTGTACAATTAACTACATGGCAAACACTATCAAAACAAACCAAAAGGCATTCCATTTGAAAGCTCCAAACTATACACGTCTGGCCATGATTAACCAATATTTTGCAACCACCTATAATTTAATAAAACCAGTCCTTTAATTTCTCTCACCTTTTATTTTTATTTTTATTTTTCACTATTTACTTACATTTTTTTATGAAATAAAAAAAAAAAAAAATAGGTTGGAAAAACAAAAGGACCAGACGAGAGAGAGGAAGTGTTGAGGTAATTTCTAAGGACCATCAACATTATGGTCACATTTATTATGATTATAAAATTTGCTAAAAAATGTTTTTTTTTTTTAGATTTTCTAGAAAGTAAGTTTTACATTTAATACCATGATATACATTGCAAAAAAAATAAAATAATAATAATAATAATAATAATAATAATAATAATAATAATAATAATAATAATAATAATAATAATAATTGATATAGTGTTGATATTGTCCCTTTTAAAAGCGCGAGAGAAAATGTAGTCTTTTGTTTGTTTGTTTGTTTTTCTTTCAACGATAGCAATATGTTATAATTTATAAGAAATAATTTGCAAGATCTGTCGACTGACATCAACACAACTTGAGTAACAATCATCTCTTCATGTGAAAGAAGTAGTCATATATAAATAATTCCAAGAATTTTAGTCTACTCTTTGAATTAAAATGAACCACAATATTAATATACATAACAATTCCACAATTAAAAGAAAACAACAATCAAAATAAATGGGGGGAAAAAAAGACACATTCTTGGAAAGGAAGAGATTAATGGCACCATAAAGTAGCAAGAAAATAAAATTTAGAAAAATCTTCTCATTAATTAATCCCTTGAATTGGTTATAATGTAATTGTATTACAAAAATTTCAACCCCTCTTTATTGCACCCTCTTTCTCTTCACCGTTTGATCCGAAAATCAATAAATCCGTCGGTTACAAATTCACTTTCCCCCTCCAAATGCATACCCACCCCACCCCACCCCACCCCCCACTCACACTTTGAGGTACATGATTCTTATTACTCATTCAATATTGTAATAATTTTTTTATCATTAAATATAATATGTTAAAATGTAGTATAAATAAAAGTGTATCCTTCTATAACATAAGTAATCTATTTTAGAGAAAAAAAAAACAACTATCTAATGATTAGACAAAATGTGAATCAATATAATATATTAAAATTGAGTCGTACTCGAACCTACATAACACCAATTGCTAGCTAGTGTTTGGATGACAACAAGAGTGTGGATTGACCATCGATAATCAAGCTCTAACGAGTCTTAATTCGTATGAACACGAATCGAGTTTGAGCGATAGCTTCATGTTTATATTTGGAGCCAAGTATCGAGTAGTGTGATTCATCTTTTATCTACATAACTTCACGCTCTTAAATACATTCGAAATATATTTTTTTAGTTATTAACGAAGTTGAATTTAAGTTGAATTTCACACAGTTCTAATTAAATTCAAAGATAAAATAATAAAAAAAAAAAACTCATCAAATTATATAATTAA